GTAATTTCTCAATAAGCATGGCCACCGTTTCAAAATGACGTTCGATATCATATATGTATGAATGTCGAACTCAGAACGAACTCATAAACCCTGCTACAAAAATAGAAGGTAGTTTCATTTATTGACATTCGTTGTTGTTGCCGACCACTTGACCTTTAACAAGTTTGTGACATTTAACTAAAATCATGCTACCAGATTCACTAGCACTAGTTCGTTGAAAGGTTTGAAAATAAAGTTTTTTGCTAATACAGTTTAATGACAAATTTCTAACGCAAAATCTTTTTAAACCTCTAAACGAGGTACCGTTATCCGTGGAAGAGAGAGGAGGTTGAGTTGATGATGATGCCCTGCAACTTGTAACTTTTTGGATGCTCGGAATTTTTTGATAAAGATGTGGCGCTGCTAAAAAATATATATATATGCTTGCACATAAGATGAAAAGTACTGCAGTTTCATTTTCTAAAATTTTTATTTATAGAAAAATGCATAGTAAAAGACAATTTGAGGACGGTTCGGTTATTTGTGAAATGATTTTGGGTTATCGTGACCAAACGCGTGACCCGAATCAAAAAATTTTAACATATCGCACACCGTCTTCAAAAGAGTGACAACTTAAAATTTGGCATTATACGCTAAAAATGTACACAGAGCTTTTATTGACCTTTCACCAAAAGCTGGAGCAAATTTTTGTTATAATTTGTTAAAAAAAAAAACCTAAGGTAAAGTCGTCCTTGCCCATATGATTAGCATGTGCTACGAAATAGTTTTTTCGCATTTTCTGACGAACGTATTATTTTGAGTTGTGACTCTTTTGAAGACGGTGTGCGGTATGCGGCTAGTCAAAGGATTAAGCTTTAATTTGAAACAAAGATTTCGGTTTGAAATATGCATTTTTTTGTAAATTTGGAGGTGGATTTTACGCAAAAATACTTTGGATTGTAAAAATGCTAATTTTACTCTATTTCGAAATGGGCTGAGTGCCTGTAGAAGGGGCATTTTTAATTCTATCGAATGCTGACCGACGTGGTCCTATCAAAAATGAGTTTGACTATGTACTTTAATGACTTTATAGGTTTTATTATTATCTTGGAGAATTTCAGCTTTGAGAAATCACTTTGGCTCAGGAAATTTTTTAGGCAGAACATATGAAGAAGCGCTGATCCCACGTGTCCCTATATTTCGCTGTCTGAATATTAGATTCCTGTTTTTTATTATATTTGTCTTTCGTATACAAATTTTTAGCTTCGAGAAAACAGTGTAGTGACGTTAATTATTATTACAACTTCGCGCGCGTCCCGGCGGCATGATCCCCGTACTAAGAGTGCTGACTCTACACTAACTTTCCATCACAAAAATGCAACACATTCTGAAAATATTAGCTTTAAGAAAACTCTTGCATATTTTACGACGCTAGCTATAGGGATTGTGATCATATTCTACTAGCAATATAGAAGTACATTGTATATCTACAGACACACATATATGTATGTACATATATTTCGAAATCTTATTATTGTAAATATCAAATGTAAATCTGTTTAGAAATATGTATTCCCAAGATTTTGGTTCCAATCATATGGGAGAAAATCTGTTAAATAGCATCTGTTTAGCCGCTCTAGCTTTATGATTTTCCAAAGAAAAAACCTTTTCACAATGCATTCATTTGTATGTACATTTAAAATTAATATGCTCCATCTCTCATCAACTAATGTTATGAAATCAAATTGGAATGAACTTGGTCGCAGAATATCGACTATGAAGAATACTACACCACTCGTGATCCCGACTTGCTTGCTAGCAATTTCACAACAAATTTAGCTTTTTTAACAAACAATTGGCGGCACATGTTAGGAAGACCGACCATAACTCTAATGGCCACACATTACATGCTAGGTAACTACATAATCTCTTTTTTTGGTACAAACATATAGGCAATCATCTTATAAATATTTATGTATGCACTTTTCAATAGTCAATTTGCGTATATTTGCTGCACGTAAACGCATATATGTATATATCAGCTTTGGAGCTTACGAAGGCTAAATTTATTTAAAAAAAAAAAATAACGATTTTTTCGAATGTGTTTCAGAAAATTGATAATCCGACCATTTTTACCCAGTAGCAAATGTGTTTTTCTAATATTTTTTTTTTTACTCTTGCTTGCGAAAACTATTCACCCATGCATGCTTTCTGCAAAAGTGACACAGCTCAAAATTTGTCATTTCCGATATTATGCGCGAAAAATGTAAACAGAGCTTTTATTTACCTTTTAGTAAAAGCTGGAGCAAATTTTTATTGCAATTTGTTGTAAAAATCTTAGGTAAAGTCATATTTGCAAGGATGTGATTAGCATGTGTTAAAACATAGTTTTTCGCATTTTCTGACAAACGTGTAATTTTGAGTTGTGTCACCTTTGAATTGATATTTTTTCTTTTTTTTTTAGGAAATGCCTTTTGAAATATTTCGCTGCCTCTCTCTTAAATACATCATTTTACTAAAATTCATAGCCAAATCTAAAAAAATGAGAATTTATTCATTTAGGACCCTTTGCTTTGATGATGGCGATTTGTAAATAGCTTATGAATAATAACTTATTCATGCATTCTTTCAGAAACTATTTACATGTGTGCATATTAAAAGTAAATAAATTTTTTTTTTTTTAACTTATATATCGCAGTGGTCAAAAATTGTTTTCAATTAATTGAGAAATTAGGTGAAATTCGCTCTTAACTCAAGCTAGCTGGAGGGACGCTAAAATGACACAAAAAAA